TCCAGCAGTGTGATGGGATGAGTCTGCGAGGAGGAGGTGATGGGGGAGATCAAGGCTATCAGGAAGGAGGGGGTGCATTCTGGGGGGGGGGGAGGCAAGAGGCTGCACAGTCCGCAAGGGGAGCATGAGAAGAGTAAGAGATCCAGGATAGCCACTCCCTAGAATCTCCCAGGGTATGTCCACTAGTTGCTGTAGTATAGATTTAGTCTGGCAAGAATCAGTCTATATGGTGTAAGCCAATGAAGGGACTGGACTGTCTCATCGTTGTTCTTGGGCTGGGCCTGGCAAGCAGGAATGGTAGGATCCTGGCTTTGGCATTATAGAGGGAGACTGATTCACATCCAAGACAGCCAAAACTTCAGAGCATCTTCTGGCCTCCTTAAAAATATGCCCCTTTCACCCAAACATGAAACAACCTTCCCTAATTTCTTACCCAACCAATCTGTTGGGATTGAACTTCCCCAGTGCATCTGAAAAATGATACCTCGGGGCAGTAAATTATAAGCTTTCCTGCACTAAAGTCCACATACAGGTAGTCCTCATTTAGCAACCACAAACTCAGCTGTTAAGCAAAGCAGCCGCTAAGTGAAACTGCAATTGTGCTTATGATCTTACTTCAGCTTTCCTTTGTTTTACAGACCTGTGAAGGTCGTAAATGTGAGGATTGGTTGCAGTTGCTTTTTCATCACTGTCGTAACTGCAAACAGTCACTAAATGAAGGCTACCTATACTGGATGTTTCATAGCTATTGTCAAGCATTCCTACAGAATTCCTACACAGATCAAATGCCATGGTCCGTAGCATGCTTCCTTCAAATATCAGGACTCTAGCAAGACTTGTTTTGGCCCTGATCCAGAGACAAGGGTTGAAATTGGTCCTATTTGGTGGTGGCCATATCAGGCAGTGCTGCTTGTACAAGGACAACTTACGTTTCTTTGGATCAGGCCTCAGTTGGGTAGCATAAAAGCCGTCATATCCTCAAGCGGTCATTGTTTTATAGAGACAGAGAGGTTGTCAATGATGGCTCTGAGATATTTTCCATGCTGGTGGAATTGTCATTTTGATCCTTCCAAACTGGCTGCACATACACTCACATGTGCTGGCTTTAGGACTTGTACATCTCCCACCTGGACTGGATTTGGAAGCTAAGCAAGATCAGATCTAGTTTGTTCTTGGACGGGAGATTCTAAAGAATTTCAGGGCTGTTGACTAGACCAGGGTTTCTCAACCTTACCAACTTTAAGATGTGTGGACCTCAAGAATCCCCCAGCCAGCAGGAGAAACACTAGACTGGACTATTTTTTTTTAAGTACCAGAAGAAGGCAAATGTGAACCACTTTTATGATAAAGTAGAGAAAACTCCTTGGATGTGTACCTGGAATCAGGTTTGAGCAGAAGGGAGTTTTGACTTTATTTACATTTTCTCACGGTTGTCTCATTATTGGTTCCCCCTTCATGTGACCATTGGCAGCAAGGGCTACCAATCATTTAAAAAATGAAGCAACTAGGATTCTGCTAAATACTTTAGAACAGTGTTTCTCAACCTTGGCAGCTTTCAGATGGGTGGATTTCAACTCCCAGAATTCCCCAGCCAGC